CACAAGATGTTCCAGTGTAGATAGGTTGTGTTTTCACAAAGGTAATAATACTCTACATTTACTCAGCCCTTTTGGATCCCAAAGCCCTTTTCCATACTTCTTCTCTTTCAAGGATAACCATGATGTAGATGGAGCAGGGGTTCTCCCTATATTGAGTTAAGCAAATAAAGTCTTCGAGAGGTTGGACAGTCTGACCAAGTCATGTGGTCATAAAGAGCATAACTGGGGCCTCTTGACACTGGAGTCAGGGCAGGTCAGTCTTTCTTCTGTGCTGTGAAGCCTTGATGTCAAAGAAACACTTTTTGTCATTTTTAGTCCTCTGCTAAGGATGTCCTGGGTTGGTGGCCCTCTTTGGCTATGATGCACACCAGGTCTGTGTCTTCCAAGCAGCTTCTCTGAATGTCTACTCTCTCTCCTTGACTTGCCATTGCCCTGAAACACTGGACAGATCATTTTTCTTCAGGTGAAATTCTGGGTCCTTGCTCAAACTGAAATGCACTTTCCTCTATTTTCCATAGAGACGATCTTCTTTTTTAAGAGGGGTGAGGAGTAGAGATAGCCAGGAAATAAACTCCAGCCATGAACCAGACCCTGGTCCATTAAGGGGAAGACCATTCCAGATGCATGCTTCTCCTGCATCTGTTTTCAGAAACACTAGGGCCTGCTCCATTCACAGCTAGGAAGAGGCACCACAGCTCTGGGCCAATTGGACTCCATGTCCCTTCTGTCTACAATTTTCTGCTGGCTCCAAATATTAGGATCAGTTCCTAGGTACTGTCCTATCTCAGACCCACTTACTTCCTGCTTCATGGCCCTGGAACACACACACACACACACACACGCACGCACGCACGCACAGTGATCCACTCACAGTGAACTGCTCCCCATCCCTAGACACCCTAAATACTGTGTCTGTGTGTTTGCAGATCTTTCTCTGTGACTGACCTCCCCTCCGTTATAGGCAATAAGCTCTCTGTGGTCTGTCCCAGAGAGTGGGATGTGTGCCTCTGCTAGAGCATAGGGTGCTTTTAGGGACAGATCGTTAAGTAACATATTAAATAACTTGAGTTCCCTCCTGGCAAAGTTAGTGCCTTCTCCACTCTGGCAGGCCAGGGAGGAAGACTCGGTAAGGGGCAGCATGCATGCCCCTTTAACACTCCTTACTGCCTTTCTTAATTAAAAAGTGTATGGGCTCAGTTAGAATTTTACCAGCAACAGTTTCTAGCCATAATTCAATAATATCATTTTACTTCCATTACTTTTTTCATGCATAGCAAGTGATTTTGATTCCCATTTAAAGAGGTGCTATGAACAGTCTCTTTTAAATAAATGTATTATAAGTTATAAAAGAGTGGCCCAAGCTAATGAAAAATATCACTTAAATGATATGCACACAAAGTGACGTTAGCCATAAGATGGCACACACAGGATTAAAGCTGGGGAGGCAGAGCAGCAGTGTTAGAATGAGCACAAATCCCAGCTATGTGTCTACTGGCTGGGTGATCTTAGGCAAATACCTCTCTGTAAAAGGAAGAGAATAATGGTACCTACCTCAAATAATTAACATAATGAACATAAAGCACTTAGCCCAATGCCTGGTACATAGAAAATTACCAATAAATGCTAGATGCCAGCCAGCCTAGTTCAAATGCCACCTCTTCCATGAAGCCCTCCTGAGTCCTTCAGCCAGAAGTTCTCTCTCCTTCTTCTGTTCTCTCCTGGTACTTTGTACTTGACTTACGGAACTTCACGTATCTGTCTTGTACATAGTCGTGGAGTTTTAGACTTCTTCCATATCTATGCCCCACACAGGACCTAGCATATGATAAATAATTAGTATATCTCTGATTATGAGTGGATTCCCTTTTTTTATGTGTTTGGTTTTTAAAAGCTTGTTCCCACTTTTCTGGAATGCTCTAAAAGACTGTCTCCAATCTAAACATGCTATAGAATATCCAGGAAAACCTTAAAAATTCTGGGGCAAGAGAACAGAGAATGCTTGTTTAATATCATTTAGATCACCATTGTCCTCAGGCTAGAAACACAAAGTCCTGTCTATTCCAATTTTCTGGAGCAAGTCATGTAGGGACAAAGGCACAAGGACAGAGCTGCAGCCTGTCGTGAACTACAGGGGGTAAAGGAGAGATGGCTAGCAACGAGACAGACACAAGGGACAAAAATCGGATAGGGACAACAAGGTGTAGGGTTGACACACTGAGCCTTTGGGATAAAATGTACTAAGTGAACCTGATGTGAATCTTTTACACAGGACTTTACAGTTAAAATAGTGAAATAGAGTAACACATAAACCGGAATATAGAAAAGGAACGGTCTACCTCCGTGATTTCACTGCCTAACCTAAGGTCACTGGGTGAGGAATGTGTCTAGAAAGAATGACCTCTGTGTGAACCATCTACCCCTCTCCCCTTCTCAGAAGCTGCGGCAGAGCCTCTTCGGCAGTACAGCCCACGCCTTCAGCTGTGACTGGAAAAGGGCCTGCTTCCAGTTCCGCGGCCCTCCGTCCGACCCGGCTTTTACTTTGGAAGTGGGAAAGGTAAGAGCAAGAGGAAATTTTTTAAATCCTATCCCTTATTCCCTACCTTTGTTTCCTTCCATCCCCATCTATGCGAATGCATGTTTTCATTGTAAGTACTTGTAGAAACATATTGATATTTTAAAATTTAACTTTAAATGCTAACAGACTATTTAAGATTATAACATACTGTCTGGGTTGTAACAAAGACTCAAACGCCTTTTTCTCTTCCCCTCCAACTTCTAAATTCTAGTTTTCCAGGCTCTTCTCTCCAAGTCCTAAACATCCCTGGGGATTTAGAGGCAAGAGGAGATCTAGGAATTTCTTTCTGACTTGTTTAAAACCTCAGTAATTCATGTCATTAATCACCAGTCACACAGAATTTCAAAAGCTAGCCATCTAGTTCCTTACCTCCTATAAATCTAAAAGCTTGCTATGAAGCAGGGGCACAGCGCAGGCAGGGTGGAGGAGGACGTGCATTCCCAGGTGCCAGTCTATGGGGCTTTACAAGGACGCTGGTCATTGAAGGTTCTAGCCCAGACAGGGCCACAGGGAGAGATGACACCTGTGTAGGACGGTGTCCCTTGCTAAGAGGGGATGCTGTGTACCAGTAGGGAAAAGGCTGCAGAGAAACATAGATAATGACATCTATTTGCAGGAGTTCTCTTTTGTACTGTTAACCCTGAGAAGTTCTATCGCCATTGTAAAGCCCTGCTCCCAGGCTTCTCGTGCCTCACTGTTCATTGTCCCCTTTTCAGGGAGGTGCCCAAGGCATTCAGATGGCTGTACAGGGGTCCATAATCAAATACTTGCTGTTTACACGGACGGGAAAAGACTGTAACTTCCACAGGTAAGAAGGCAGTGAGAAGTCCTTGAAAGAGCTACTCATTTCATGAGCATGTTTACAAGCTAAATAATCACAACAGAAAGTCCCCCGGGTCCCCTCAGGAAGGGGACTTGCTCATAAGACAGAAATGGGCCTGGTTCTCTCAGGGGGCTGGATTCCGTGACTGGAGAGGGCTCTCCTGGAGACATTCTAAAAGTTCAGTTGCAGAATAATGTTGACAGTTTTTATGCTCTACTGCAGACCACCCCGTCAGGTAAAATGACGCACTGGGTCTCAGGTGGGCTTTCTTGACAATATTTGATGGGAAGCCTCAACCTAGCAATTCCAGGGAGGAACAAAAGGGTGATGAAAAATGAAGGATCAATCCTCCAATTTAACAAGGCTAGTAAAGTACAGTGTTTGGTATTTGCCTACTTAAAAAATCAGTTTGAATTACTTTATTCTTAGGAGTTAACAAACCCCTATCATGTGCAAAGCTCTATGCTTGATATTAGAGGAAATAGAAGTAAAAGGCAGCTATCTGCTCTCAGTCAGGATAAGTTATCACCCCAAACTGGAATTAAGTATATCATATATTCTAAGATCATGAATTGCCAGTTTCCTCAGAAGCAGAGCCAGAGATGGGAATTCTTTACGCAAGAGGTCTATGAAAGGAATGCCCCC